CAACCCGACTCCTCCCCTCAATTTTCCTAGTTTCACAGGATACCTAATGAATGGATAAAATGGATTCTTGGCCTCAGGTGAGAAATCACAGCCCTACAGTGGTTAGACAACTGGTGTCCCCTGAGTTCTGCTTCCTTACAGAGCTTGGGGATATTGGGAGCTGTTCAGTAGCCACCAGCAGATGGTTGCTGACCAGCAGAGCAGCAGGACAGTCTGGGGTCTTGGGAGTGAGCTGTTCTTATAGGGCATAGGGGATAGAAGAGGCTTCCAAGCAGGCTCACCAGGAAGCAGCCAGGTAGAAGAGTGTGAATGAATGAATGGTTTACAAGTATGTAAATGTATTGTAATGTCTTTGGATGCCTTCACATAGCCAGCGATTTTGTGCTGCCCTGGAATCATTTGGACCAAGTTAAGAGCTAGTAGAAGTTGTTCATTTGTAGCCAGTTGGACTGTGGTGACCGCAGGGGCATTCTGTTTGTGTGTGTAAGGAGAGAACATGGCACCCACACCACAGCACGTTTGTACTGCCATCTGCCCACCATGCCTAGAAACAGTTCTTTCTTTCCTCTTTTGTTTCCTCAGCACTGCTAGCTTTTCACCAGAGGCAGCATTGCATGGTTCATGAGGCTTTAGGCTCTGGGTAAGCGAATCACCACATTTATCATCTGAAATGGGACACTTTAAGAATGAAAGGACGTGCCCCCAGTAACTACACTGAGGTAACAGACAAAACTGCCAGCCTCCCTGGTGAAGAGGCCATCCACGTTCCCAGTCCAGCTCTGTAATCAGATCTCGTGGGTTTAAGGTTTGACATTTTACGGCAGTCTGGGTACCTTGTGTTAACTCCCTGTGTCTGGATGTTCTCACCTGAAGAAGACAATGTTGCTGTAGGGAATAAACAAAGAAAGATATAGAAAGCACATTGAACAGCACGCATGACATGTATGTAGCTTAGTATTTCTAAAATGGTAGCCATTATCGTCACACCGTAATAACCGTAACCAGATGGCAGACACACCCATACTGAGCTCACTATGTATTGTTTCTTTGCTGTCCACCTCTTGTCAGAGTTTTAGAGGCATGGTATATATCAAACCTCACATTTTTACAGAGTAAAATTTCTTCCTAGTGTGTGATCTGATTCAACCACAGGAAACATCACTTTTTGCAAGCCAAACAACTAGAATGATTTTTCAAAATGATAATCCAAAGTCTAATAATTACCAACTATAGAAAACAGATTTCAAGTTTGTATCATGCTTTCTCTATTTGAAAGATAGCATCAAGCTGCATCTACCTGTCTATCTTATCTCTCATAATCTATCAATCTATGTATCTATCTCTTTGATCTATTTATCATATATCTATCTGATCTGTTTTCTAACAGCTACTTATCTATCAATCATCTATCTATATAGACCCTCTGGATGAAATGATAGGATTTGTTATCTGATACTTATTGTCTTCAGCCAACTTTAGATTGTGTGTGTGTGTGTGTGTGTGTGTGTGTGTGTGTGTGTGTGTGTGTGTGTGTGGTCTGGCTCCACTCTCAAGCCTGCCTCTGCTGTTCTTCAGTGCCTGTCTTAGATGCTTCAGCAGCACCTTGCCCAACCCTCACTTCTCTCTCTCTCCCTCTCTCTGTTCAGCTGAGTTCTATTTTCACATTGATTATTTTCTGTGCCTTATTTCCATCATGATTTTCAGATAGGATCTAATACTTTTGTCTAGAGCTGGACTTGGATCATCATTCTCTCTTTCCCATATAGCTGGAATTACAGGTGTGCATCAACACATCCAGCTTGCTCTTTGAAACAAAGTCTCATAGGGGGAAAACAAAGAGGAGGCAACAATGCTCTATAGGAAATGTACTCATTACCTTGCTCCTGCACAACATTTTTGCAATAAAAACCCTACAAAAAATAAAGTCTCACTACACTGGCATTTAATCTCAATCCTCCCATCTCTACCTCCTGAGTAGCTAGGATAACAGGTCTGAGCCACTGAGCTCAGCACTGCAGCTACTTTTTTTGTCAGTTGTGGGGCTTGAACTCTGGGCCTGGGTGCTATCCCTCAGCTCTTCAGCTCAAGGCTAGTGCTCTACCACTTGAGCCACAGCACCACTTGTGGTTTTCTGGTGGTTTATTGGAGATAAGAATCTTAAGGACTTTCCTGCCTGGGCTGGCTTGGAATCACGATCCTCAGATCTCAGCCTCCTGAGTAGCTAGGATTACAGGTATGAGCCACTGGCGTGCAGCTTGTAGCTACTTTATATCTAATCGACATAGTTTATACATATGTTACTGAATCTGCCCACTAAATGTTCTCTCATGTGAGAAAAAGGCATAAAACCCTACTGCTTATGTTCTGGCTTAGTAGTCCCTCCTTTTTGTAAAGATAAAGTTACACTAGAGGATCCTCACCTTATGTACCATTGGGTGCACTGAGGACCCTAATCCGCCCAGTCAACACCAGCAGAGCAGAGGTTATACTCTACTTTTTGTGCATGTGAAATAGTCACTCCATCCCTACAGCCTCTTTAGGAGGAATTTGTTTCCTACACGCTTGAGGATGGGCTTGGCCATGTGACTAATTATGCCTTATGGTGGTGGTGGGGAGGAGGAAATGAATTCCCCTTTCTGATTTTGGAGTTGACCATGTGCCTTGCTTTGACCAATGAGATATCAGTGAATGGGATACCCATTGAGATGTGATTGTGTGGTTGGCCCAATCTATGCTGGTACCATGGCTGTGAGTGTCACATGCAGATAAGGGATTGCAGCAGGCTGCAGAGCAACCTGCAGGTTTTAACTGTCTGGATAAGCAATTCCTGGGCCCTCTGACTCCAAGCTGAGTCTCATGAACTAGCTCTATGTTTATTATGATAAACACATTAGGAAAAGAAAGGCTTCTCATGATATGCCTGATACATTGTGATGTCCTAGGATAGATGTCAGTCTAAGTATCTATAAGATATGTCTAAGTATCTGTAAGATATCTTTTTTTAAATTCCAGTAAGCCAACGGTGTGATAGTGGTTAAGAAGGCAAAAGTGAATTTTTATACTTTATAAAGGTTGTGGTTGTCATTGTTAGAGGGAAAAGAAGGAATTGTAATGATCAGATATTGAACATTTCTGTTCACTTAATGATTGCAGTTTTGATATGACTGAGATGTCCTGAGCAGATCCTTTGAAGAACAAAGCCCTGGCTGGAGCCCTAAGAAATCATTTGATTTAGGTTATAGACTAGGAAGTTTACCTTTTTAGCTATTATTTCCACTTGGAAAGGATGCAGGTATTTTTAAAAAAAACCATACGAGTCTTATTTTCTTCCATTTTTGTTTTCTATTTTCCTTTTGTAAGATGCTATAGAGAGAAAAGAATAAGATACAGGTGAGGACACATACAACGAGATGATACAGACTGGCTGTCATCTCTTATGTGGAATCATTTCTTCATCATGTTTCAAAGACTGAAGAACAACATTATTCCAGTATTTGGGGTTTCTAGGAGCTTATGTCATAAGCTCAGCACACTTTAATTTTAATTTTGGTATTATTTCTATTTAATTCCAGACAGTTCTCTGGAGGCCTCTTTTCAATAACCAATGTTCCCTCTGCCCATGAAATCCACTTACCTTAACTGATGGTGATTGTACTTCAGCCTGGTTCTCAGATCCACGACGATAATATTCATTGTACTATCCCAAAAGGCTCTTAGTATTCATCAAATATTTGATCAACATTGTCTAATAAAGCTTATAGAATGCAGAAACATGGAACATAACTCTACCATGATTTTTACTTCTGTCTCTCTCATTAACACCATGAGTTGCTTCTCTAAAATAATTAAAACCCATAATTGAATACACTAAAATGATTTTGGAAAATCAGTTTAATTATTGCGGTACTTCCATTTGGAAGGCTTGCATTATTTATTAAAACAAATGGGTAAATGTAGTCCCTCTCTTGTTTCTTGTCATTTCAGAATTACTTTTTGAGAGGGAATATTAATTTCTTGTGTTCATGTTTTTTTTTTGTTTGTTTTGATTTTTTTTTCGTTTTCGTTTTTGGTTGGGTCTAGGGCTTGAACTCAGGGTCTTGGCACTGTCCTTGAATTTCTGTTGTTCAGCCTAATGCTCTACCACTTGAACCACAGCTCTACGTCTGGCTTTTTCGGGGAGAGTGATTAATTAAAGATAAGAGTCTCATTGACTTTCCTTTCTGAGTGGACTTTGAACTGTGATCCTCAGATCTCAGCCTCCTGAGTAATTAGGCTTACAGGTATGAGCCACCAGGGCCTGGCTCTGTTTGTGTGTTTTTAAAGGAGCAGTAACTCCTAATGTTACACTGACAGGAACATAAGAATGTCTTGGATGCTAGACTTAACTATTTACTTAACTGTAGAAGTTTCACTTTTCAGGAATTGTCTCATGATATTAAGAAGTATCCAGTTTTTTAATCTCATAGAGAAGGTTGTCCTAGATTTAAATTATTCGATGTCCTTTGAAGCAAAATACAAGATGGGAAATTATATTTTAAATTCTCTTTGTAAGAAAGACACAAGGTTTACTCTCTTTTCTAACTTAGGACTTTGTGACTCACTGTGAGTTGGCCTGGGTTCATTAGTTTGCATTTGCCTGGTATAGGAACTGCAGCTACTGAGAGGCTGAGGTATTTATGTAACTGAAATTAACTGGAGGTATTTTATGGACCAGGAAATAGAAACTTACATGAGATATTTTAAACTTAGATTAAGTCTCTCTTGGTTATATTCACATAGCAATCTAAGCAATCATGCTGGAGGTAAGCTGAGGTCTTTATTACAAACATTCCGGCTCAGCTTTATGAGATAAAAGTGACTTCATTTTGAGGGAACACATATTTATGAGAAGTGGCAAAGGCCTCAGCGGAAATGACACAATTAATATTTTAGGAGGTCTGAGGATCACCCAGTCAGCAGTAATATAAGATAGTTGGGTCATAAGTCATGAGTATGCTTAGATTTCATAATTGTTCGCTTTACCTCCAAGTTAGTGGAATGGTTCAATTGACAACATGGAATGAAATGAAAATCCTCAACTTAAAAGAGAAATATTAAACCTAATATAAAAGGTCAAGAGCTCTCCATTAAAATTTATATTTGTGAATTCTCTCAAGCTAATAAATATCTCTAATAAAAGGTTTTAAAAATGCCACTGCTATTCAATAGCCAGATTTCTCAGAACCCATTTTTTCCCTTGAATTTTCATTGTGAACACAATATGTTTTCAGTTTTTCCTTTGTTTGTGATAGTATCGCTGTCTGCATACCTATGTGTGTGTATATGTGTGTGTGCATGTATGTGTAGAATTGTATACATACACATACATATTATGTGTGTACGTATCTACACACATATGCATGTAGGTATATAGTTGTATATATATTCGTTATATATGCACCTGCATATATCTGCATACAACTGTGTATACACAAATATGTACATTCTAGGGATGTGTATACTTATATATGCATGGCTGGTTTTGAATACATGTACATGTATGTCTATTCATTATATGGTACTCGTTGAATGGGTTATTGATTGGACCATAAGTGTTTAGATGGATTCTCATTGTCATAGAAATCCTCAGTCATATCTTGAGATTGTTGATGGACATAAATGTGCATAATTAGTGATCCAGTAGCCTAAGGTGACCAGAGAGGTAGTTCAAATTATAAAAGAAGTTGAGGAGACCGGGACCAAGTCTCCTTTTAGAGAATTTTCTCATTTATTCATAAAGCTGTAATATTGGGAACTGGCTTCCAGACATCTTGTTTAGCTCTTGCCTTACCCACCCTATTCTACTGTAACCACTCCCCTTACCTTCCACCATCCAATTGCCTAGCGATGGTCAGGTGGTCAGGGATCTAAATGGGCACTTGCCACAGGTGTCGGTGACACCACCTGTCCCCCCCCCCCACCTCAAGGCTTTCTCCCAAATTAGGAAGTGCCACAAGGTACGGCCCAGATTTTTCCTCCCTGGAGGCACTGAATTTTCTCATACCCTTCATCTTCTGCCTTAGGACAATCTGCATTATTTTTTTTCTCATTTTACCGAGAACTATTGCGATGTTGGTGGTCCTCCTTATAGTTACTCACAGTTCTATTTTTCAATATTCTCTGAGTCATTTTAATAAGAATCTGGAGCAATGGCGAGTGAAGGTCTTTCACGATCCAGGATTTTTTTCTGTTATCTTGGGAGCCACAGCTTTTGCAGGGTCTCCCTCCCAGCCTGGTGAATCTCATCTGCAGTCATGCATATTGATTTTACTCACCAGATAGAGAATATTTACTATGTCTCAGATGCTCAGGATCCAAGAGGGAAAAAATGCATTCTTCAAGACAATTGTGGTGTAGATGGCTGAACAGCAAGTAAACAACTCATTAACAACATGGGGAGGGGGGTAGTTGAACCATTCAGCATTGGGAAAAATATTCCTGTAGCTCCTTAAGACAGTCATCTGAGAGGAGTAATTATAAGGCAAATTGAGTCCATGAAGACATGAGTGGCTTTTTTTCTGTTGGACAAATCAGGGAAGGCAGGGAAAAGTCATTGAAGGAGAAGTAACAACATGTACAGAAGCCAAAATATGAGAGTTTAAAAAACTTCAAGTATTTCACGCTAAATAAATCAAAATGAATTTTTGTCTTCCAAACGCGGGATAATCATGACTTCTCTATCTTCCTTCAAGTCACTGAGAAGCAATACTGCCAAATGAAAGAGCCCAGGAAGGATCTTGTGACTTGGTTGAATATTTTAATGGCGTTTGGAGCCTTGTGTACCTTGGCTATGTTTATGTGCCCTAATAGAGGAGCGGTTTCACACAGACGTATTGATGGGATTTGAGTTTTCTTCCTGACCTTAGTTGGGTTCCTTTGATTTCCACCCTTCTTCCCTAAATATATACAAGCCATCTGCTAAAAAACCTGTCCCAGATTTTTCTCTTGAGATTGATGTCAACGTTTCTATGGTTTCTGGAGCTCAAAGTTAAAACAAAAGGGAGAAGGCACCTTTGTCTATCTTTGTCTTTTGGTACCTTTTCAAGTTTGTATGGCTTCTAAATGTTACTGTGGTGCCCCTTATCTGTGGAGAAGATGTCTGAGACTCTCAGTGAATAGCTAAAATGGTGAAAAAGCAAGCTGATAAATGTAAATAACACCAATCCCTATATATGCTAGTTATTTTCTTGTATCTGCACACTTGTGATAAAGTTAAATGTATAGATTAGGCCTAGCAAGAGGCTAGCAACCATAGCGGATAATAAGATAGAACAGCTGTAGCAATCAAACTGATTGGTTATAGTCAAGGTATCATAGTCATGAATTCGACCAACCATGGATCCAAAGCATTTCCATCGTTAGTAAGCATGGACAGATTTTTTTTCTTATTCTTCTTAACAATCTAATTCGCACTTCTGTCATATATAAATGAGATATTTACATTAAGTTTAGTATTCCAAGTAAGCCCAGCTATGATTTAAAGTACTCAAGAGGATATTTTAGGTTATATTCAAAAACTACATTAGTTTATGTAAGGGAGCTGAACATCTACAAATTTTTGTAACTGCAGTAGACAGGGAGACCTGGAAGAAAACCCCCTCAGAAACTAGTAGAGAATCGTAGCATAATAAAAGCTAGAGGAATATGGTCTCTTTCCCCATATGACATTATCCTGTGCTCATCCTTTGTGATAATCCAGGATGATGTGTTACCTGTGTGATGAGAAGCGGAGCAGCAGGTGATGTAGGCATTGAGACGCAGTGCTAGGTTGCTACTAGCAACCCAATGATGCACACTTTCAGGAGATCCTGGACCACTGCTTGTAGAGGAGGTCAGCAGGTGGACGATGTCAGGAGCAGATAATGATGATGCTCAAGGTTCTTCAATAATTCAGTGGTTGACTTTTTCTCTCTCTAAGAACTATGAAAAACTATTGCATGTGGAAGTTGTGTCTTTTAAAGAAGCGCTGAAGTGTTACAGTGCATCACCTTCACGCCGTGTTCCAGCTGAGCATGGCAGGCCAAACTTTTGTGCTGGACTGTCTGTGCAATTTGAAACACGTTGGAAAGTTCTGGTAATGTCCTTGTTGCTGGTTCTGCTCCAGTTTCTTCTTTGTCCTCATCTTTGTCTTAAGACGCCCTGCTGGCCTTCAATGCGTTCTTTGGTTCTTCATCAAGTGTGACAGCAAATCCTTCTCTCCCACCTGACTTGGCTCCATGAATTCATTACTTAAGTTTTCCATTTATCTCTAGGAAACCTTTAAAATTGTTACAGTTGACCCTATAAGTTCTGGAAGCTTCTGTTAAACTTTGATGAGTGTTGTTGTGTCAGTATTCATAACACTATAATAATCTCTAATGCCACATTATGTCTAGAGCAGAATCTGGACCAACTGCTGGTCACATGCACCCACACACCGGGGAGCGTGCGGCCTTTCAACACCAAAGATGCCCTGCACGAGAGGCTGAGGCAATAGAGCAGCATTTGGAAATAAAAACACAGCCTTGATGTGCTCACTTTCATTGTGGGTGGATTTAGGAGGGTCAGGTTCATTGGCTATTATTAGGACTTTAAACTTGAAGTCTTTCTCAGCTTCTGCAATCAGTCTGAAAACTTTCTGTGGCCAGAATACAGCAGATGACTTTTGTCATCTTTTGTGAGAGAGTATGGAGGTTCTTTGTTCTGTATACTATGCCTGGCTTTATTCTGAGCCTTGCAGCATTGTCACCAAGAGCCAGAATGGGTCTGTCTTTCTACTTTTTATGATCTAGTTCTGCCTTTATGTGTGTGTGTGTGTGTGTGTGTGTGTAAGAGGCAGTGGGTATTGAATAGCTTGCTAGGCACTCTACCACTTGAATCACACCTCTAGGACCTTTGCTTTTTTTTTTTGTCGGTCCTGGGGCTTGAACTCTGGGCCTGGGCGCTGTCCCTCAGCTCTTCAGCTCAAGGCGAGCACTCTACCACTTGAGCTACAGTGCCACTTCCGGTTTTCTGGTGGTTTATTGGAGATAGGAGTCTCACGGTCTCTCCTGCCCTCCTGCCTGGGCTGGCTTTGAACCGCGATCCTCAGATCTCAGCCTCCTGAGTAGCTAGGATTACAGGCGTGAGCCACCAGCGCCCGGCTGACCTTTGCTTTTTGTATTTTTAAAAATAGGGTCTCAGATTTTTCTTTCCTGAGCTGACCTCAGATAAATTCTCTGACCTTTGCTGCTCAAGTAGCTAGGATTACAGGCATGCGCTACCAGGCCAACACACCTGCATTCTTTTCTTTTCTTTCTCTTTTCTTATCTGCTAGATTCTATCTTTGATGGTATTGGCCTTGTACTTGCTAGTAAAGCACTCTTCTATCTCGGTCACATTGCCAGTCTAGTTTGGTTTTGAGATAGTGACCTTTTTTCTCTGGGTTGGTCTCAAATTGTGATTCCCCTGTTTTTGCCTCCCAAGAAGCTGGGATTACTGAGTATAGGCTAACACATCTGGCCCCTTTGTGCACTTGTGTGAAGGAAGGTTCTATTGTCTGTCTTCTTCCCATAGATCCCAACTTCTTTACAACTGCAAGACTCGCTTTCCACTGATGTCCTAGCCTTTGTCTCTAATTAGCTTCTTCACCTCTACCAGAAATGTGGCATCTGCTTCCGTTTCAGCAGACCTGACTATGCCAGTCAGTTGTCTATTTTCAGTCTGGACCTATTCCTGCGTCCGCACAGATGTCCACAGTGTGCCGTAAATGGCTTGCTCCTCAGGATCTGGTGCTGGAGTCTTGCTATAGGCTCAGGGCATTCAGGCACAGCCATCATTGTCCGTCAGCGATGGACAGTGCCTTCCACCCACAGGTGCGATGCGTGTTCTCTTTGAACTGAACGCGCATTGTGCAGCACAGCTGCAGGTTGGGATTTCACAAGTTTCCTTTTGCTTCTTCACCATTTCGTTCATCGAAGATGTATTCCTACCAGAGATCATACAACCTCAGCA